GCTGGTCTCCTTGTCCTCCACGTGTGGCCAGAGACGTTTTCTCCATGACCTGCTTCAGGCAGACTCAGCTACATTCTGGAGTTTTCTTTCACTCACGTCCTCTTTGCATTCTGGAGTTTTCTTTGCATTCATGTCCTCCACATTCTGGCCTCGCCGTTCCTGAACTAGCCATTCCCTGAACAGATTTTTTTTTTTCTGGGCCTTCCTGCCTGTGATGGTTCATTTTATTTGTCAATTTGACTGGGCCACAGGGTGCCCAGGCATTTGGTCAAACGTTATTCTGGGTGTGTCTGTGAGGGTGTTTCTGGATGAGATTAACATTTGAATCAGTAGACTGAAGAAAGCAGATTGCCCTGCCCAGTGTTGGTGGCCCCGTCCAATTCAGTGAAGGCCTGAATAGAACAAAAGGCTAAGAGGCAATTCCTCCTGCCAATGTCTTTGAGCTGCGACATGGCTTTTCATGTGTTCAGACCCCACTGGAAACATCAGCACTTTCTGGATCTCCAGTATGAGCACCACAGATCCTGGGACTTGTCAGCCTCCATAATCACATAAGCCAATTCCTATTTATAATAAAATTTTTTCTGTGTCAACTTAAACTATATATATATAACATCATAGAGAAATATGCAGTGGCCAGGTATGGCAGTCCCTGTAATCCCAACACTTTGGGAGGCCAAGGTGGAAGGATTGCTTGAAGTTAGGAGCGTGAGACTGGCCAGGGCAACGTAGTGAGACACCGTCTCCACAAAAAATAAAACGTAAAGAAAATGAGCTGGGCATGGTGGTGCACACTTGTGGTCCCAGCTACTTGGCAGCTGAGGTAGGAGGATCTCTGGAGCCCAGGTGTTTGAGGCTGCAGTAAGCTGTGGTTGAGCCACTGTACTCCAGCCTGGGTGACAGAGTGAGACTCCATCTCTAAAAAAAGAAACATTAGGCAATTTCATCCTTGTGTGTGAATGTTGTAGGATGTACTGACACAAACCTAGATGGTAGAGCCTACCACACACCTAGGCTGTAAGGTATAACCTGTTGTTCCTAGGCTATCGTACAAATTTGTACAGCTGTTCCTGTACTGAATACTGTAGACATTTGTAACACAATGGTAAGTATGTGTGTATCTAAACATATCAAAACAGAAAAGGTATAGCGAACATACAGTATTATAATCGTATGGGACCACTGTCATATATGCTGTCTGTCATTGACTGAAAGGTTGTTATGCGTATGTGGCTATATACATATGCACATGTGCGTGCGCGCGCGCGCACACACACACACACACACACCATTGGTTCTGCTTGTCTAGAGGACCCTGACTAATATACTGCCTTTTATCTGGCTTTTTGCTACATACTTATTTCCCCTCTCTATCCTCCCTTAAGCAAAGTAAGATCCCTACTCATCCTTCAAGATCTAACTCATTTGACACCTGACTCAAGAAGCTGTCCCCAGTTCCCCTCACTCCTCTGCTCTCACAGCCCTGTCATCGCGCTCATGTAATTGAACTCACTTTGCGGTGTGTTGCAGGCATCTCCATGTGTGTCTCTCTGCAACGTTGCAATCCCCTCGAGAGCAGAGGCCTTCCAGCTCCACATCGCTCCTCCCCAGCTCGGAGCACTGTCAGGGCTCACAACTTATTTAGAAAATTGCGATGAATTAAATTGGAAGCAAGCCAGTGGGAGACAGTTCTATGGCCCTTCCCATGAGGATGGGATTTCAAGGTCACCGTGGGTGATGTTCCAAGCAGAGATGATAGCTATCAGGCTGTGACATTGCCAAGCACAGGCTGGGGGTTTCACACCCCCAACGATTTCCTCTGGAATGTTCTGTAGCCACAGTATCACAGGACATTAATAAAATCAATTATTGGATAAAAATCTCTGGTCTCCAAAGCTTCATTTTATGCTATTAGCAGGAGAATGCTGTTTTAAAAGGAGATAACAGAGAGAGAGAGAGAGATCAATTACTGGATAAGCTCACCATGGTGCCCCAGATGAACATGGACACTGGCCAGCAGCCCCTCTTACCTGCCACATGGATCAAGCCCCTGCACTGCTGTCTGTGGATCCTGCCCTGGGCCACCCTGTTCAGGTTTCCCAAGTGCAGGAGGTGCATTCTACTCAGTAATGGGATGGGCAGCTCTCAGCTCAGTGCCCTTAGTACCCAGGCAGCTTGAGACACTTGCACGGCCACCGGGGTCAGTAACACATGAATGAGCACCCCACCCTCGGGGACAGTGTCAGCCCCAGGACACCAACCCTCATGTTCCAGATCAGAACCTGATCAGCACATTCTTCCTGGAAACACAGAGTCTTATGTTTTAAGAACTTGAAAGGTCTCAGCTGTTTTAGATACAGACCAGCTCCTCCCCAGGGCTGAGAGTGCTAACATGCATTGGGAAGTGACCACCAAATTTAGGTGTCCAGCTTCTCAAGGCCTTGAAGTCCACACCTCCTGCTGGCTATGTGGACAGTCTCTGTTGGCTGTGGAGCTGGTGTGGGCAGGGCAGACCACACTAGGCAGCCTGGGCTGTGGCTAGGAGGCATTCCCTTGCCTCCTCTGCTGGAGGGGCCCAAGAAACTGAGCTCTGCTTTGAGCTCTGCCACTTTCCACCTGTGTGACCTCAGACAAGCCAGTAAACCTTTTGGAACTTCATCTTTCCTACTCAGTTCAGAGGGTTTTGGTGAAGATGAAACGAGATCATGAATACAGAAGCCACCTTACACATTCTAAGGTGCTCTCCACGTACAGTGAGGGTTATTACTCACTACCCCATTGATGCTTCTTAAAAATACCAGATTCCTGGGTAGGAGGAAGAAAGGAACAGATAGGGTGGCTGTGAGTAGCACACCACTGTAGATGGAACTCCTCCTTCCTTCCCATCACTGCCTCTTCTACAGCCAAGGAGGAATGACAGTCATTCATGAAACTGTGCCAGCCGTGGGGCCAGCACTTTCACACCAGGTATTCTCAAATTGCCCTGGAGAGATGTCCTCTGGGGTTGGGATACTAGAATTCAAGTTCCAGTTCTGCCATTTCCTAACTGTGGGATCTTGGGCAAGGTCCTTACCTCTCCAGGCTGTTATCTCATCTGTATAATAAGGGGATGCACAGTATCCCTCTCATAGAATTGCTCTGAGAACTACATGAAGTAATGTGAGTCAAGATCCTAGAACAGCACCCAGTATATAGAAATGCTCAGAAAATGGTGGCAGCCATTGTTGTCATCGTTCTGTTTTTATTCTTGCTGATGGTTTGTTGCTGTTCTGCCTCTGACCCCATCTTTGAGCCAGACCTTGCCACTATAAGCCTGGTCTCTGGGGTTGGGTACTGATAAGCCGACCAGGGCTAGTGGAGGACAAGGAGCCGTTCTCACAGACTTCCCATTCGTGTTGCACAGCCTTCGGACGCTGACTGGGACGACCTGTGGGACCAGTTTGATGAGCGGCGGTATCTGAATGCCAAAAAGTGGCGCGTTGGTGACGACCCCTATAAGCTGTATGCTTTCAACCAGCGGGAGAGTGAGCGGATCTCCAGCAATCGGGCCATCCCGGACACTCGCCATCTGAGGTATCTCCTCCTTCTCCCACTCTGTTACCCCCGCAGTCAAGAGATCAACAGCAGGCTTGATTTGGGGCCTACTGTGTGCAGCGCCCAGTGCTAAGAACTGGGTTGGACCATCTGCTGCTGGTTGGACACTAAAGGGATTTGGATTTGGTGATTGACCCTGTCTTTGTTGCCTATTGCTTACTGCTGAGAGCCATCCCAAACCCTCCAATTCCCACCAGGAGGTTGGGGGCAGGGGTGGCCTCTTTCACTTTAACCTGCTTCTCACCCTAGGGATCATCTGACACGAACCCGTAGAGCACCAAAAACACTACAGCCAAGGCCTGTTTTTCCCTGGCAGATTCCCACACCCAGGCCTGGGTTCCAAAGTAGGGGAAGGCAGGATGATCGGACCCTGGGGCAGGTAGGTGGGCGGTGTCTTCTGTGACTGGGAGAGAGCCTTCATGTGCCAGCCCTTGGACATTTTGCCATGTGAGAAGAGGAGCCAGCTTGCCGTTGGTTCTTCTGTCTGCCTGCGGAGGGGCTCGTTCACACAGCTCCATCCTGCCAGCCTTTAGTCAGGCCATGCCTTCAGTAGGTTGCAGAGATCAGGCCTGGAGCTACATAGAAAGCTTTGTTTCCCAACGAGAAGAGGCTTCGTGAAGACTTTCTGCCTCACGACCAACCCTTTTTAGAGTCATAGCAGCCCTTATGCACCCTGGTGAGACCTGGTAATCAGGTTCAATCTCAATCCCAGCTCCTCCACTCACGGGCTTCTGGCCTCCAAACTGGGGGCCCAGAAATGCCAAAGACCTGTGTTGGCCTTTCTTGTCTGCTGCAGGAACTTGACTTTGCATCAGCCTTAAATAGCAGACTGGCATGCTGAGAGGCTGTGGTGCTGGTGTTAGCTTCTTAGTCTCTTATATTTGTCTGGGTCCATGGGTACTCACATTGTGGAAATGGGTTTATGAGCAGAAGAGCAAGAATTTTCATGACTTATGAGGCTGATTCCTCTGGCAGTTCTTAAGTTGGTACCCTGTGAAGGCTGGCGGACTCCATGTCCCCATCTAGGTTGCACTACTCAGAAACCTTGTCTCCTACAGCATGTATGCTTTGGAGTGACTCAGCCAGTCCTTGTTAATCACTATCATTGCCAAAAGCAGCTGAAGTCCTGGTTTCCCTATGAATATAGCAAGGGGGGTGAACTAGATGATATTACAGCTTCTTCTAACTCTGACTTTCTGTGAATTTAACTCTCCCCTCGAGGGACCCATGAGACTCTGCCTTAGCAGCAGTTCCTGGCAGTCCCCTACTGCCAGAGACCCAGGGCGTGGGCTATACCTGCTTACTCCCTTCTGCTGGCCTGAAAGCGTCTGAAAGTCAGAGTCTTGTATTATTCCTGTTTAAATTCCTGGGCACTTGTCCTACTCCTTGGCATCTGAGAGAATTTTATTTAAATATTAGGTTATTGTATTTCCCCGAGCAGAAACTGCATGTAGGAGAGATGGGAAGAGGGAGCAGACAGGAGACAGGAGCCTGAGAAGCTCCACTGGGTCTTAGGCAGGTGGACGCTTGTCCTGAGTCCAGAGGCCAGGGCTTTCTTGAGGGACAAAGGGAGGTCTCCTAGCCAGGAAAGTTGCTGGCGCATCTGGATGACAGCCCCCTGAGAGACACCTGTGACTGCTTCCACCTGCAGAGAGAAGGCAACAAGTAATTCACTGAGTAGGCAGGTACTTGGGGATACTCTGAACAGGACTAGTTTCTGCACTTTCCTTCTTCTACCATTTAGAGGCAGAAACTAACATTTTGCAAGAGCTGGGCATATGTGGTGGTAGGTGATGAAGAACTGAGCCTGTTTCCAAGGAGCCCAGCTCACAATGTCCAGTTCCAGGCTTTGCACCTAGCCCAGTATGTTCCATCTGTTAAGAACGTGTGATCTGCTGGGATTACAGCAAGAAGGGAAGAGAGGATTTAGACAGAATTTAGACTCCCTTTGGGAAGACACAAAGGGAAAGTATATCAGCCATATATCTGCCTTAGGGCACCAGCCTTGCCCTGTGGGAGCTGGGATTGTATAACTCAGAGAATTTCAGGCTTAAAGAGCTTACTCTGAATGTGCATGAAAAGGAAAGGTCAGGCGATTGAGAATGAGGGCAAGCACATGGGACCAGCAGCCATCTAGGGGTATAGATCACCTACTATGTGCAAATCTCCAGGCTAGCACTGTGAGGGGCCACCAGTTGGATCAGCCATCTCCAAGCCAAGTTTAGTCACCATACTGGTGTCACCCTTGTAGTGATGAGAGCTCCAAAGACTGCCAGCAAAACCCTGTTTTCTTCTTTCAACTGGGCCCTTCTGTCTACAGGATCTCCCACTTTCAGCTCTTGGTTCTCAGGGAAACCTTGACTGTAGGTTGGAGTCATCAGCTATGTCTCTTAATCCTTCTGTGATTCCAGTCTCCCCATTGTGTCCCAGTTTCATCCTGATGCAATTCCTGGAGTTTGCCTGGCCTTTTGGGCCCTGTCTGCTTCAGATCTGACCAGCTGATGCTGCTGGTGACCTGTGTTCTGGGGACCAGGGATTCTCTGCAGCACTACTGACATTTGGGGGTAGATAATACTTTGTCGCAGGGTGTCCTATGCATTGTAGGTTGTTTAGCAGCATCCCTGGTTTCTACCTACTAGATGCCAGTAGCGCACTCCCTAAGTTGTGACAACCAACTATGTCTCCAGACTTTGCCATAGACATCCCCTTGGGGACGAAATTGCAGTGAAGATCTCTGCTGTAAATCCAGCCCTGCTTTTTACCTAAGTTCTCAAAAATGAAATGTAAACATGTATTATCAACCCCATCACCAGCAACAGGACAAGGCCAAGCCTTCTTTGTAAAAGCAGAGTTGAATGGAAGGCAGGCAGTAACAGCCCAGGGGCTAAGGATACTGATCCTGGGATCAGATTGCCCTGTTTACAGTCCTGGTTGTGCTGCTGACTAGGAGTAAACTTAAAGTTGCCTAGCTTCTCTGTACCTCAGTTTCCTCTTTTGGAAAATAGGGGTAAAAATCACAATAATGATCCTACCTAATTCAGTTTTTATAAAAAGCAAATAAAATATATATAAAGTATTTACCTACCTAATAGTAAATATTTTTCAAATTCTAGTTGTTGCTATTATTACAGGGTATGTGGGCAGGCTGATACTGAAGGGCCAGGAATGGAAGGAGAGGTCTCTGCCAGAAAACTCAAGATGATCAGGCAAGAGACGCAACTAAACCCCCAAAGTGAGCACACATCTATACCCCAAGTACCAGGAAAGAGCATTAAGATCACTAAGTTGTCATGGATGGTGAGGGTGGCAGAGGAGGACAGAGGTGGGTTTCAAGGTCAGGTTCAATTCCAGAGAAATGGGAGTGAGTGGTGTCAAATCCCCGTGAGTGTGGGGTGCTGGTCCTTAGCATCTGTCATAGCATTTCTCAATCCAGGATTCTTACGAGAATTACCTGGGGTGCTTTCTTTCAGTGCTGATACCCAGACTCCAACCACCTGAAGTACCTCTTTTCTAAGCTCCCCAGCCAGGGTTAAGAACTACTACTCTAGGTAAGCACTTCTTAAACTTAAATAGGCAAACAAAGAACCCCTCTGAGGATCTTGTTAAAATCTGATTTAGTACATCTGAGATGGGGCCTGAGCGTCCGCATTTCTAACAAGCTCCCAGGTCATACCAACCCCGCTGGTCCATGAATCACACTTTGAATAGCAAGGACTTAGAACAACCATTCTCAAATTCTGGTTCCCCAAACCAGCAGGCCACCAGCATCAGCATCACTTGGGAACTTGTTAGAAACACAAACTCTTAGGTTTCACCCAGAACTAGGGGTTCAGAAACTCTGGGGGTGGAGTGTAGCGATCTGAACTGATTGCGTCTCGGCAAGAGCTACAGGTGATTCTAATGCTGGCTCGAGTTTAGAAACCACAGAGCACCAGCTTGTACCTGTGGCTTATTTTTGTAACCCAGGTGAAGTTCATAGGTGGGATTGGTGCAGCCAAAAGGCTGATGGTCTGAGTAGAGAGTAGAGGCCCTGGAATAAGGCCACCACCTCCCCCACACACTACAGCCCTCTCCATTTCTCCACTGACATGACTTCTGTCTCTGGCCCTGCAGAGACGTTGGCCTCTCTGGTTCCTTCTTGCCTCTCCCTCCTTTCCCAGTTCCTTCATTCACAGGCTCCATGTCCTGCCATCCTCCTAGCAATTCGCGTCACCTCTACCGAGAAGCTCCTATAGTGGGGTCACTCCTGGCCCCATCGCCATTGGCCCACTCTGGACTTCTGGTTCCTTGAGGACATCCAATCACATTGATACAGTCTTTGCCCCTGCTGGGCCTCCTTTGTGTTCCCATCATGCCTTGCAGCTAAGGTCCTACTGGTATCAGTTGCCCTCTGGGGTAACACGCTGAGCATCTCCTACAGTGCTTTCCTTGTGTGATAGGAATTCAATAAATGTTGAACAAATGAAAGGGAGGATAAGACTGGAAAGGCAATTGACCACCCTCTCCCACCTGCTTTATGTGTAGCGAGGAAAAGAGGAGCTAAAGGAAGCCCCTTCTCATCACCCTTCGATCCTCAGGGGCCTCGTAGAAGGAATCAGAACAGACTCCGAGTTAAAGGAAAAATGCTTTTCCCTTAAAGAGTTCTCATTACTGAAAAAAGAAGGGTGAAGAAACCGCATGTGGGAGGGGTCTGAGCTTATTAAATTTGCTTCCAATTTTCTTACCACAGTAATTGGATTCTGATTTATAGGATGCGTTTGGACAGCGCCTGAAACAGAGAACTATTAGCTGAGCATTAGAGCAAGTGCTGCCAGGAGGGCGGGTGTTGGGGTGAGCAGCTCAGAAATCTGAAGATGCCGCATGATGGAGGAGGCAGCAGGTGGGTGAGGAGGGGGAGAAAGGAGGAAGGCTGTAGAAGTTTTGCCCAGCAGGCAGCTGTGCTGATTGAATCCCCAGATGCACCAGCGGTGTGGACCCCT